AGACATTCTGAGCTGTACTTTCGACCATAATGCCCAAATTACCCCCCAAAAAATTGGATTACGCGTCATCAATTTCCGTTCCTCCTGCTCCTACTCACTATCGGACAGGACACGAAAAATGCCAACCGACCAGTAAGTACTAATCGAATTTGATTGGCACTTGGAATCCGCCATAATATTCCTCTATTTATTTATTTACTTTTATTAACCTTATTTTTCAATTAACCTACAATCGAAACCGTATGAAACGTTATTAGTTAGTAATTTTTTTAGAACTTATTCTTTTATTTATAATATTTAAATTTAAAATTTTATTTGAAAAAAATTAAATTTCTTTTATTTATACTAACAAATCGTTAGTATATTCCCTATTTATTTATAAATGGATTCTTCTTACTTCTAATCTTAACATACTTAATATTTATATATTAAGATGTGTAATTATTATATTTTTTAATTATTAATTTATATAAAAATAAAAAATTAATATTAATTTTAATATTAAATATTATTTAATATTAAAATTAATTAATTATTAAAATTAAAATTTATTTTTTTTATATAATTTAATAATAAAAAATAAATTTTTTTAACATGTGTCTTAAATTTTGTTTATTATAATATTTATAATTATCAAATTTGAAGGTTTTAAACCCTCATATTATATTATGACATTTTTAACCCCTCATCTTATATTATGACATTTTTAACCCTTCACCTTACTAGATTTGTAGATTTTAGCTTCTCACCTTATATTATGACATTTTTAGTCCCTCACCTTATACTAAGATATTTTTAACCCCTCACCTTATATTATGACACTTTTAGCTCCTCATTGATTAAAATTGAAGAAAATAGTCCTTACTTTATAATATTTTATTAGTTATATTAATTGACTGTTAATTCTATTAGTTGACTGTTAGTTGACTGTTAGTTGACAAAACCTTCTTTCAGTTAACAGAGTTAATAGAATTAATTTTATAATATTTCGTTAACTCTATTAACTAGTTATTAGTTGACTGTTAATTGATTGTTAGTTGAAAAAAATTTACTTTTAACTAACAAAGTTAACAATCAATATAAAGTGAATGTCATTTTTTTTTATTTTAATAAGTGAGGGGCTACAAATCTATAAATCTAGTAAGGTGAGGGATTAAAAGTGTTATAATATAAGGTAATAGGTTAAAACCTTCAAATTTAATAAGGTGAGGGGCTAAAAGTTTTTACCTTTTTTTTTGGGTATACTGTGCTTGTATTGGCCCTCAAGATATTTATGTTATTTATATCAAATTTATAGTATGTTTGGGTTAACTTGTAAAAGTTTTTATTTTTTTGTATTATTTATAAATGATTAATTTAAATTTTTATTAAAAAAAATTAAAAATT